GACGGCGTGGTACCGGCGTCGCTCTCGCCCGTGATATTGTCGTGCGGACCGTCATCTACGCCCGTATTAGCATTCTGCTAGCCATTCTGCGTGTTGAGAACCAACCCGCTGGTGACGCGCCGCATCTCTTGCATCTCATGCGGCTGGCATAGTTGGAAAACTCGCACTGTCGCATGTTAGCAGATGTAAATTGTCGCCGGTGTCTTTTCGGGCTCACCGTGAGACAGATCCAGTCTTCCTTGCCCGCACCGCCGCGCGCGTCGAGTTCGTCGCGGCTGCTGCGAGCGTAGTGCATGTACACCGGCCACCGATCGTTCGGATCCTCATCAAAATCAAAGGACAGGCTTGAGTGGTGTGCCTGCATAAAGTCCACAGCGTCGTCGATGTGTCCGAATTGCACAAAGGCCCGCCTCGCCCGGCCGGGGGGCAGGCGGACGTCGATGGCGAGATAGCGCGACATGTCGCACGACTTGCCGAGGAGATCACGAACCTACAACCAGGTCGGTCCAGTCAATGACGGCGAACGACATCACGGGTCGAGAAAAGTCCGGCGACTCACATCGTTTGACGTCAGATCTGGCGCCAGGCCCTCCAAGATGATTGTATCGGTGGGCGATCGTTGGAGCTTGCGAGACGGCGATGCAGGGCGGCCCGAAGCGCGGTAGTCGTCGTACTGCCCATCGCCAGCCTGCGACCGCGACCAGCCACGCCCGTCACGATCCCGTCTGTCCCGGTCGCCGCCGCGGCGGGTTCCTTCGTCGTCCCAGCCAGAGGACTCTTGGTAGTAGTAGTCCCGCGGGTCGTGCGCCTGCCGCTCGTCGTCAGGGGGCGCATCGTCGTACGAGAGCTCATTCCTCGCGGGAGACCTAGAATAGTCGCGTCGGCCCGGGGGGAAGTTAGCCCTAACGCTCAAGCCAAGTTGGTCATGTCTTGCAGCCGATTGTTCATCGGGCGATCTGCTCTCCCCGTCCACCCCCATCACGCTGCTCCGCCAAGGCATGCTCAGTTCGGATCTTTACCCTGCCGAGACCGGTAGCCGTCCTTGTGGTCCTGATACCGTTGGTGTGTAGCGTCGTTTGACTGCATGCGAGGTCCGCGAGGAGGCGACCTGCGGCTATGATTGTTGTTGTCGTCGTCGTCGTCGTCGCCTCTGTTGGGGTAGGAGCGGTCCCTCGATCCGCTGTCAGGGAAGTCGTCCGCCATGGCGGGGCGGATGGATGCTGCGCTCGCTCGAAATCGTAAGGCGTCGTAATCGAGGATGGAGAAGACGACAGAAGGTGGTGAACAGGTGGCTTTGCCGCTCTGCTGAGGTGTTCGTGGCAAAATAGGAAACAAGGCTGTGATGGTGATGGTGGTCTGCGAATGGCCAGAGCCAAGAGTCTGTCAAGGGAGCTTCTTGGTGGAGAATGGAGAGGCTATGGCCCGTAAGCGCATATACCTGAGTATTGCATGAGCCACGTTATCTACTAAAGCTGCTAAGCAGATAAATTTGAAAACGAGGCTCTCGGATACTTCACTCTTTCCACCCAGAAACTTGAATGGCTGTATGGATTGGTTTCGCTTCAATTGCTTGGGTCAACGCTGGGGTGCTTTCTCGACACACTCTACGGTCCCAGGCTCAACGACACCATGTGAATTGGACTCCCAAAACGTTGTGGAAAATGGACACCTAAAAGGAATGGTTCCCGATCCCGCGGCCCCCCTTGTCGGATCATCCCTGCAAGTATACATGGCATCTATGCTGTGCCAGAGGTAGAAGCGATATCGAGCAGAGAGCCAATCTTCAACAAGTCCGAGGTTCACACAGCAATTCGACAGCCTGTCTACTGAAATGGGTGAACCGCCACCATTGCAGTCTTTCCATCACAGCGGGGGAACAGACGGCCAGAGCTCCGATTGCCCTCAGCCTTCTGCCATGCGCCGCTTGTCCCGTCATCGGAGGGGTGGCAAGGCCGATGCTACCTTGGCCGGCATGTTGTGGTGCATCAATCGTGAGTTCACACCCTCGTGTCGTCCACGTGCTAGCTGTCTGCAGCGTGGAGGAAGGACCTGTTACTCCGGCTCGCAGTCTCTGGGTCTTGGGTTGTCCCGGCAAAATACCTATCTGCACTATGACAATCCGCGAACCGTCATCTATTCGACCCATACGGGGGCGCCAGTGGTGGCGCTTCTTGAGGGTGTAGCTGTCTGCATGAGACGGAAAGCCTGGAATCGCGATTCGATGACGGTTCTGCTACAGCATCGAAGAACCCCAACGAGGAGCTTCTGGCTTTCGACTCTGGTAGGGTCAGGCACGCCACCTGTCACAAAATGAGAGGATCCGACCAGTCCAGGTCACATTCAATTTATCCACCTGGCACCTCGTCCTACGCTGCGTAACCCCATACAGCAGGTCCTCCTAGCAGCGGCGCCATGCACAATCAATCGACATGCAGGCTGGCATCGCTGTCTTGCATCGCTGCTCACAGCTTCGCGGAGGCTACCCGCAGCTCATCAGTGATCGCATCACCACGTCGTCGTGGCCCCTCGCCCTAACTCACCTCCTATGACCAAAGCGGAAGGTCGAATTGATGCATGTTGAGAGCCGCAGACCGGTCAACAGCATATTCTCATCTCTTCTGGTTGTGATAGGGTAACACTCGACTGACGGCGCAGGGGTTTCGCCGTCGTCATGGTCATCCGAGCCTTGTCAAGCAGCTTCAAAAGCAGCTCGACCCTGACTGGAATACCAATGTGCGTTCGCAGGTCGGCTCAGTGGCATGCCCTGTTTTTTTTTTGCATTTGTTCTCTCTCTGGACCGTTGTTTGCTCGAGAACCCAACTGCAATCAGAATACGACCATCATGATGAAGTGTTTGACCTCCGCTGTTGCTGCGGCGATGCTCGCTCGCTCGGTGTTTGCGCAAACGCCGTGTGTCCCTTGGAAGCCTGTGGATTCGGTACATGCCGCCCAATTCACCTCCTATGCTTTATGCTCTAGCTAAAACGACGCTGCAGGAGAAACTGCAAAACGCCATCAAGCTCGAGAACCTCAAGACGCATGCCGAGGCCTTCTCTGATATCGCCTACGACTCCGAGTACTTCCGCCTGGCTGGATCCGTTGGGTACAACAGGACCGCCGATTACGTGGTTGAGAACCTCAAAGCTCTGGGCGACTACTACGATATCGAACGTCAAACCTATGCTGATGTTGTTGAGTTCTTCAACGAGGGCGCTGTGACTATAGATGGCGAAGAGGTGGAGTCTCAGACGTTCCAGTTCTCCAAGAACGCCACACTTGAGGGGCTCGGACTGATCTGGGTCAATGCCTATGGATGTAATGGAGTAAGTAACAGACATACTGCCTTGACTATGATTGTAACGAACAGTTGCAGACGCAAGACTTTCCTCCCGAGATCGAGGGCAACATCGGCCTCATCTCGAGAGGTCCCCAAGGCGGCTCCTGCTCGTTTGCCCTCAAGTCAGCCAACGCTGGTGCTGCTGGGGCTGCGGCTCTAGTCATCTTTGATTACGTCCTGGGAGCGCCCCCCATCAACGGCGTGCTCTCCTACGAAGACCTGCCGGAGGGCCCCACCGTCCCGACATCAGGCATCTCGAACGAACTCGGACTGGCATTGTCAGCCAGGCTTCAAGCTGGCGAGGAAATCATAGTCGATAGCTTCTACACTGCCACTGCTGGAGACATCTGGTACAGGTATGCAGGCCAACCCATGAGAGTTGGCGTTTATCATTCGAAGCTAACCTCCTCTACCGTAGTGATAACATTATCGCAACTACGACCAGGGGCGACCCCGACAACATTCTCTTCGTAGGCGCTCATTTGGACAGCGTTGCCGAGGGCCCAGGCATCAACGACAACGGAAGCGGCAGCATCGCGATCCTCGAGGTTGCCCGTCAGCTCGCTCGTTATGTGACCAATTCAACCATCCGTTTCGGCTGGTGGACGGCCGAGGAGTCGGGCCTGCTTGGGTCGACATACTACGTCGCCACGGCCGAGCAAGAAGAACTCGACAAGGTCAGACTCTACCTCAACTTCGACATGGTCGGGTCCGGCAACGGAATCCTTGCCGTTTACGATGGTGACGGAAGTGCCTTTGGGCTTTCAGGCCCACCTGGCTCTGCCGAGGCCGAGGCCCTGTTTGAAGATTACTTCGCATCGCAGGACCTTCCTCTGCTGCCCACCGAGTTCTCCGGCCGGTCAGACTACGGTCCGTTCCTAGATGCGGGCATCCCCTCCGGCGGTCTGTTTACTGGTGCCGACGAGATCAAGACCGAGGAGGAGGTTGCGCTGTTCGGAGGCATTGCTGGCATCATTCATGACCCGAACTATCACACCCAATACGACACCATTGGCAACATGAGTTACGAATTCCTGGAGATCAATACCAAGGCCATCGCTCATGCCGTCGCGCTGTACGGCACCAGCTTTGACGGCTTCCCCGAACGGGAATCCGGCGGCCTTCAAACCCGCACGACGCGGAAGGCCGGCCGACTCGGGGCCTGCTCCAGTCGAGCGATCAATACGGGTCACTTCAAGGCGTGCAACTTTGCATAAGCATATCTGCTATTCGACCCAAGGGCTGGGCCGTGACGATGGGTTCGTGCATAAGGATTCAAGTGAATGTGTTGCTATGGGGGCGATTGGTTGGCGCTCGGAGCTGTCGGCTTCTTCGGAACTGTTTAGAGGACCAAGCTTAGCTCGACAGCGCAAGGCGTGCCAAGGCCGCCGATCTTCTCCCCGCCATGGCCGTGCATCGTCTGATTCCACAGAAGCAAGCATGATCCCAGGCCCTGTCTGTTCCCCGGCCCAGCTGAACCAAGCGTCAGCAGATCAGCGACGCTAAAACCTTGAAAGCCGCCCTACCTGGGACTGCTGCCCACAGCAAAAGCAAGCACAGCATTCAGAGCTCGTTCTGGTTGCATCATCAGGTTAGGGTTGCTGTAGTGCACTGTTTTTCTCCATCTCGCCATTGTAGGGTTCATTTTCTGCACAGCAGACAATTACAGGACCTCCTTCGGCTTCTTCCGCTCCTCATCCACAGAGACGGAGATATTGACAGTCTTGACAATGCCGTCTCCCCCGAGATCCTTCTGGGGAATGATGCTCTCCTCCGATCCGCTCTTGAGCCCAAACCCACCATGGATCTCGTGTATGGTACTGGCGCGGGTGAACAGCTCAATGTTGCCGAAATCGGAGCGCGGGGGCCTGGTGTCCAGATCCGTCGTGTTGTTGCGCGTGTAGCCGCTCCTGATCTTGTAGCCGGTAGGGTACTTGTCGGCCGACGAGCCGCGCAGCATGGCTTTGAATAGGGGTTTGAGGCAGGGGATGCAGGCTGCGACGATTGCGGTGCAGATCTCGACGGTGGTCCTGGAGTCGGCGTGTCAGCATGTTCATCCAGTTCTACTGGCATCGTTGAATGCAATTCACGTACCAAATGGTGAGATCGGAGCTGTCGAAGAGGAAGTCTCCGTGTTTTCCGTACTGGCCGAGGAACGTAATCTTCACAATGGCTGCCGCCGTAGCGCTTGACCAAGTCAGTAAAAAGGGCCCAAGGATGCGACGTTGAGATCTGTTGAACGGGCTGCTTACAAGATGCCCAACGACAAGATGGCGGCCACGGCGGACTTGACTTTCCAGTTGAGCTGAACATTCCACAGGATCGGTACCGGCAGCACAGCGAAAATAAAGTCGGTCACAACCGAGACGCTCGAGTTGAAGAAGGCTGCGAATTTGAGGTGAGCCGGTGGGATGCATTGGCCGTTGGGAATCGAAATGTCCCAAGCATAAGCTAAGGGCCTGCATTGAAAGAAGACGGTCACTGTGCTGTTAGTCGTCTCTCAGTTCGTGGCAGCTGGAGTTGGGGTTCACCCACGGAGGTTGCCTGTAGCCGACAAGACGGTAAAAACCATCACGCCCAGGATAAACTTTCTAAACCTGGCGGAGGGAGTCATTCGCAGCAGAAACAGCCCGACACTGACTTTAGTCAGGCACAGGGCTATCAAGCAGAGAGGCTGTGTGACAAAGTTGAGACGCAAGCCTTCGACCACATTGGACTTGGGTTCGATAAACTCGACATGGCGGCCGGCTCCGTACCCAACTTGCGGTATAATGACCATCATCTCTGCGAACATGACGGCCTGGAGGTAGTACATGTTAGTTTGCTCTTGTCAAGCCAAGAGGTCGTGAGCGAGAATCTTGATAGGACGTACCATGGCAACAATCATACAATAGTCATCCCAGCCCAGCTGTCGGATGATGGCGACCCTGACATACACACGCAGCACCACGAAGACCAGAGCAAGGCCAACCATGGCCCCGCAGACTCCTAGAATCTCGGGGCCACGGTTCAAATCGGCTGGGAGGGGAGTTGCGCCGTCCATCTTGTCAGGACTTTTGGAATAACAGCAGCCGTTGCGAAGAAGATGGGTGGGCGTTGTGCAGAGACATTGACCGCGGGACTGGCGCTGTTCTTAATTCTGACGTTTCGAGAGTGTCTTAGTCGCTCAATAACGGACACACTTGGCACATGTCCACAATAGTTCTGCGGCCGCGATGTTCGCCTACGGGATGTTCGCCTACGTACCATCCCACTGGTGTTCGGCAGACCAGGGGGGTTGTAAGCGATACGGAGGGGGTACGTTGCCACGTCCGCAGCGCCCATACAACAACATGCATAAACTCTGATGGTCAGGGAAATTTGCACAGCATGAACGTCCCTCGGCGAGGCTACCAGACCGAATGGCCTGACTGTTCATTGTCAAGAGGCGTAGTACAGTTTTGGTTACTGATTAACCTTCGGACGGAGGTGTTGGTGTCTAGCCCTAGCCTCCACCGAACTGCCGATCCTTCCGAGACGTGGCGGGGCAAAGGCTCGAAAAAGCATCAGAATAGTGCCTTCCAACCAAGGCAACAATTCCTACCAACTAGTACACCACCTATGGTGTTCAGGGGAAACGCGCAATCTGATGGGGCAGGGTGTCATGCATTGTAGGGATGCTGTATCACCAACCGGCAACACCCAGGACGGGGGTAATCAGAGGTCAGCAAAGCCATTCGACCAACGACACGAATGGTAACAACAGTGATGACTCGCCGTATCGCTCAACGGCCCTGCAGCCCGAGCAATAGCGGCCCGCGGGACATCAAGCCTTACTCCTCTCTCCCCCCTTCACCCCTTCGAGGCATGGGAGAAAAGGACGCGTCCGCGAGTGGACCCCCGAACGACTGCAGGGACAGCCGGACCAAAGAAGCTTCAATACGTCGGTCCGGTCACACGGGAAGCCCCGGTGCCAGGTGGATCCCCCCCTCCGAACCGACACCCATGAGGACTGACTCGGTGAGAGCCGGGATCAGGAGATCATGTCGTTTCGAGGTTGCCCGAAGCGAAACTTGGCGGACTAGATTACCTTGGTGGCATACAAAGAACTCATCGACACTAGCAGCGTAGCAATGCCCCTGGGTGGCAATGATGAGCGGTCCAACAACATTCGGGAAGTCTCATCCTCAGGTGCGTGCAAATCAATCAGGGACAGCCACCAGTCAACCAAGCATGGTAGAGCTGGAGCCACAGTACGACACTGTTTGAAAAGCATCGTTTTCCAGCTCTCAATTGGTAAAGGGAGAGCTAGTTTCAGGCAAATTGGGCGGACTGTGTCGGTTTCTCCAGTTATGGTGGCACAACCACTGGTCTGTACATGTATGGCTTTAGCATTGAGAGAACAAGTGTGGGAGTATCGCTTTCGCAAGTGCCGGTAGCTGATACGCCACAGCCTGTTTTCTCCTCACCGGACCCTGGGCCCGGCTAAGCTCGGCCTGCATAAGGTCCTCTTCACTCGCGATACATCACCATCAGGGGGGAAGAAAAGAAATGAGGCTCCCGGGATTCTGGCGCATTCCGGTCGAGCAAGCTAGACACATGGTTCCCATATAATGACTCTGTGTCGGGCAATAATTTGACAGTCACACTTTCATCATGTCTGATAGTTCTGAAGGCCCAACGCCATAGTTTCTTTTTCCACGTGTCCTTCCGTTCCACCCCATCCATCGACAAGATGAGATTCGTGTCGATCCTTACCTCAGTTGCCCTGACCTCGGTCGCTTTAGCCATTCCGGCCGTGCATCCCCGCGGTGATGCTTCGGACGAAGCTCAGGTTTCTGGGTTGGTCGAGGACATCAAAGCCAGTGTTCTCAAGGCACTGGATGACAGAGAAGCCAAACTTCGCAAGCGCGGCGAAGAAGCGAGCTGCCACGGGAGAAATGTTGTGTTCCGCCGAGAGTAGTAAGTCGATGTTGCAAAATACCAACCACCACCGACCTGGTGCGAGCACCTCGCTGATTCTCTGCTGCAGCGGCTCGCTCTCTGAAGAGGAGCGTCTTTCTTACGTCAATGCTATCAAGTGCCTCCAGACTCTACCCGCGCGAACACCTGCCAACGTCTCATCTGGTGCTAAGTCACGAGTGAGTTCCCTGACCACATCTCCCTGTCGTTTATCGCCCGGGCTACTCACACACGGCAGTATGATGATTTCGTCGTGACCCACATCCAACAGACCTTGACCATTCATTATACCGGATGCTTCATGCCATGGCATCGCTGGTTTTTGTACGAATACGAAACTGCTCTTCGCGACGAGTGTAATTACACGGGCTATCTACCCTACTGGGACTGGCCCAGGTATGCTTCTGCTCCGGAAAAGTCGCCCATCTTCAACGGTGATCCTTACAGCCTGGGAGGCAACGGCGAGTACGTCCCGCATGAAGGTCCTGTCATCGTGCCTCCTCCTGGAGTTGGCGGCGGAAACATTTCGTTGCCGGCTGGTCTCGGCGGCGGTTTCGTGAGGACCGGGCCCTTTGCCAACATGACTGTCAATCTGGGACCTGTCGGTGGCCTGCAGGGCACAGCGCCTGGCCCCGACGGTGGCCTTGGTTATAACCCCCGCGGCCTGAAGAGAGATGTCGGACCGGCGATGAATCTTCGCTACGCAAATTACACCACCGTTCTGAGTACGTCCCGTGAGAATTCAAGACGGCGGCATGCGCTGACATGTGTCAGACCTTCTGCAGAAACCCAACATCGAGCAGTACCGTTTGCTATCTGAGGGTGTTCCATACACAATCGAGATAGGTCCTCACGGTGGCATTCACTACACCATCAGGTCAGTTACGCTTAGTTTCAGCTCGATTGCTGGTTTATACTGACACTCAGTCAAGCGGCGATCCCGGTGGTGATCTGTTTACGTCTCCTGGAGACCCTGCTTTCTACGCCCACCACTGCATGATGGATCGCATGTGGACTCTCTGGTATGACGCATTGCCTATTTTCTGGCCGGCACCAACACTGACTTTCTACAGGCAAGCTCTTGACCCCAAGTCACGCCACTGCCAGCTCAACGGTGGCAAGTATGGCCACAGGACTTGGGCCAACCAGCCGCCCTCGGAGAAGACCAGGCTTAGTGACATCATTGACATGGGGTATGCTGGCGACAAGATCATGATTGCGGAGGTTATGGACACACTGTCAGGTCCGTTTTGCTACTTTTACCTGTGAGGAGTGCGAGGTGTTGGAAGCGAAGGCCAGATATCCGTAAACTTGCATTCAATTTGCAATATTTACGCTCCAGAACTTGTCAGATAGCGGTTTCTTTGGTGCTACAGGCGTAGATTGGTAATCGTGTTGCCTCCGTAGAATGGGCGCGTTTCACAACACTCACCATGTGGCGAATAGTCCTTGACGTCTGCGTCCATCTCATGATACGATTTACCATGCGTTTGACGAATCCCAATCTATGATGTGATTGCTTGTCAAGGAACTAGAAGGAGAATTTGGCGTCATCAACATGCTCGATGGGTGCGGTTGTCAGACAGGTTGAGGGCCTAACTGTTGAGAGGCTGAAAACCCTCCGCGGCCACTTTAGAAGAGCACCGCTCAGAACCATCCGATGCAAATCAAGCCTAACCCACCACAACAAATTCACTGCTTTAATTTGCAGTGCAAGCGGTATGCATCGTGGCGTTGCCTGAACAGGGAGAAGCCTCCGTTGCGATCTGCAGGAGAATCATTCGATTGATCAGTCAACGATACAACACGAGACCACGAGTAGACCGACACCGGCGCTTTGGAAAAGGCCATTCTTTGTATAAATACTCAGTAAAGCAAACTCTCCAGTCGGCTACCGCGCTTATTCTCAGGTGCATCAAGCTACTTCAAGCAATACATTGTAACTTCTCAACGTTCGACCATTCAATATAAACAAAGTGTTCTGCGACCATCATGGCCGAACTGAAGGAAATCCTCGTCATCGGCGGCACAGGTGCTCAAGGTGCACCTGTTGTCAAGGGTAAGACCATATGATTCCCGCACTATACTTGTGCTAATCCAACTGAAAGCCTTGTCTGCGAGTGGACGATACCGGGTCCGGGTCTTGACTCGTAGTGTCGAATCATCACGTGCCAAACAGCTCGGAGCTCTGCAGAATGTAACTCTGATTCAAGGCGCCCAGAACAACCAGGAGGACTTGCACAGGGCTTTCAAAGGCGTATACGGCGCCTGGGTCAACACCGACGGCTTCACTCTGGGGGAGAAGGACGAGCTGTTCTATGGGTTCAGAGCGTACGAGATCGCCAGAGGCGAGGGCGTGCAGCACTACGTTTGGGCCAATATTGAATATGTCTTGGGCATTGTCGACTACGACGAGGCGTACCACTGCGGCCACATGGACGGCAAAGGACGAATTGGAAAGTTTATCCTTGCTCAAGGCCAGGATGGCATGAAGAGCTCTCTCTTCAGCACCGGACCCTACATGGATATGCTTCTCGACGGAATGTTCGTTCCCAGCGAGCAGCCTGACGGATCGTTTCTATGGGCCAATCCGTCCCGTGAGCTTTTTCTGACTTGTTCAAAACTTCATCCACATTGCAGGCCTCGGCTGAAAATTTTCACAGTAGACGATGTCAAACTCCCACTGATTGCTCTCGACGATGTTGGCGTTTATAACCTTTGGCTGTTTGACAACCCCGACGAGGCGGCAGGCCTCGATCTTTCCGTCGTAACTGACAACGTGAGCTTCCCGGAAATTGCCAAAACCTTTACCGAGGTCACCGGCAAGCAAGGCGTTTTCAAATCGACGCCCTTCGAGCACTATGCAAAAGTTGCGGAGCCATACCCGGGAGCCTATGTGAACTGGTCACTTGGTCCAGATGCGCCTCGGGACGAGTCTGTCATGAAATGGAACGACAACTTTGGCGCTTGGTGGCGCTACTGGGGAGAAGGTCGTACCCCGCTCCGCGACACTGCGATTTTGGATCGCATTCACCCTAAACGGATCAGAAGCCTCGCCGAATGGATGAAGCATGTGAGTTACGACGGCAACCGTAGATTTGTTTTGAAAATGGTCGAGGACTGGGCTGCTAAGCAAGGCGGTCAGCCAAAGGCGTAAGATGTGTCGGCTAGGCTCACTTTTGTTAAACCATAAATGAATCTACTAAGCTATCCTATTTCGTTACAAAACAGAAGCGATTAGCAAAGTGTACCCTTTTCATCTGGCATCGACTCGATGGCCCATTTGCAGTGCCTGGGAAACCCACTGCCAGGACCTATGGATGCCAGACATCTTCCCCCAACCAGATGGTTCAGTCACATTGCAACAAACAAGAAACGATGGCATGGGAAAGAATATCTGAACAGTGAAACCGGATGACTTGCAGCCTCAACCGTCACTCAGCGGTGGGTGTAGGATCACGGATAAGCACCAGCTCTTGCCACTGCCCCGCATCAGGAACCGAAGTGACTTTTCCGCACTGAGCTCTCCTCCCATTTTCGACACATCTCCGTCCAACGGCATCCGACTCTTGCTCCTTGCTCTTCCGCTCTGGTTGTTATGTCACCTTCTCGTTTACTCTACCTAGTCTGACGGAAGCTGCTTCGGCGCCTCCCGTATGGCTGCGAATCGCCAACTGCTTCCTACAATGATGGATGAGAGTGGGTCCCAGCTTCACAAGAGACGGAAAAGGAACAAGGAGCGACTCAGGGTCACACGGGCATGTGACCGCTGTAAAAGGTCAGTAGTGCAATGATGGGTGATTCGTGTCATCAATGGATTGACTGATGACGATACGCAGGCGAAAGATCAAATGCAATGGGACACAACCGTGCGAATTCTGTGTTCGCGTCAAGAATCAATGCACGTACGATGCTGCCTATGCAAGAGGGCGGGCGCCAGACATCCCGCCCGTGACTGGGAATGAGATGCATGCCACCGGGATGGATTCTGAGGATAATATGGTGTCCAACATCATGACTTCATCGTCAGTTGTGCCAGGGACGACCATTACGAGCTCAGAGTTGGTGGATCATAACCTGGCTTCGGACTGTCAGAACATCTCGTCCACGTACGAAGAAATCCAAGCGCCGGCAAGGTTGGCCGCTTCATCTCAACAAACACCAGAGCCTCCACAAGAAGACCTGCAAGGGCATTACATTGGACCCGCCTCGGGGGTGTCTTTTCTCTTGAGAGTGCAGAAGAGGCTTCACAAAGCCATCGAGTTTTCTGCGCCAAGCAGTATTTTCACATTTGGGGATGCTCCCATTAGCCCGCCTGACTTTGATCCTTCATTCTGCATGGTCCTTCCAAGGGAAGACGGCCAGAAGCTGCTTGACCGGTATTTTGACTTTGCCATGCCGACCTACCGGTTCCTTCATCGGCCTACGTTGCAGGACTGGTTTGAGGAGTTTTATGATACTTTGGGCACGATGCGTGACGTTCACAACGCGACGGCCAAGATTGCCCTGTTATTCATGATCTTTGCTCATGCTAGGGTGTACATGCCTGAGAACGCCAGACCAGGCCCGGCAGATTTGAGGTCAGGAAGTCTTTTATTCAAAGCATTTGCCTGGCTAATGACTCAAAACAGTTCTCGATATTTTCTTGCAGCTGAAAACCAACTCTCCAAAGAAAGTGGCTCCATTCGACTAACGAGCATACAAGCACGCCTTCTGCAGTGTTACTATCTCCTCACGCAGTCGCGCGTCAACCATTGCTGGAGTCAATTCGGCACAGTCACAAACTTGGCTCTGGCAATCGGCCTCAACCGCAACAAAAGTCCAGGAACGGCAAGTGGGTTGAACTATATCGAGGTTGAAAGTCGCCGCAGAACATTCTGGTGCGCTTACACCCTCGACACTTATCTTAGCGTTTCGCTGGGGAGGCCACGCTCCTTTCACGACGATGATATCGATACCGAACTACCGGCATGTGTCGAGGATCATGAGATCACAAGGGAAAGTCTTTGCACCTCGTCCATGAATAGGGGCTATTCAATAATGCTGGCCCCCGTGGCACACATGAAGTAGGTAGTTTGGAAGCGTGGCGGGAGTTTCTTGATGCTAGCTGACAGATCAGACTGGCCCAAATCATTAGCAAGATCTTACGTTCGCTGTATTCGATTCGACCGATATCAGCTAGCCGCCGTGCAGAAGATACTCAGTCTATTTCGCAAGACCTTAGTGACTGGCGAGCCGAGCTTTCACGGTTCCTAGATGCCGACTTCTTTAGCACTTCGCTCATCGTACCCATCTTTCAACGCCAACGAAATGTGCTCAACTTGACCTACTGGCACGCCATCATTCTTACCCGACGGCAATGCCTATTGAACAACTTCGCCCAGATCTCGCAGCAGGGGAGACGGCCTAGTAACACCAATATGCAAACAAAAGAACGTATTGATGAGTGCTTGGTAGCTGCGATGGACACCATGAATACAATCGACGATATGACGCAGAGTGGGCAGATGTATCACGCCTTTTGGGTTGGTTTGCTGACGAGACCATCGCCATCCCACAAGAATTTACTAACAAAAATTACAGATCACAGCGTACTTTGGCTTCACTGCAGCCATGGTGCTCTACATCTACGTGATTCAGGAATGGGCATCTCCACCAGAAACCTACCGCAACTACTTTGCTGCAGCCGCCCGCTGTCAGTCACACATGGCAACCATTGCACAAAAGGGCTCGCTTGTGGAGCGATACTATCTGGTGCTAGAAGAGCTAAGAGTCGAGGCTTTGCGTCAGATAAAGCGCTTGCATCCGACCCTCGGCTTTGGCAGCTCGGGAATCGACGCGCAGCTAGGAGGCATCGAGGCCATGGCGATGCCTGTTGATACGAGTCCGAGCACCGCCACAAATTATGCGGAAATAATGGGTGAAGCAGCAATCGACTTTAGTGGTATGGGTGTCGCGGGGATCGAAGAGTTTTCTGGCTGGGGACAGTTTGCTTCGATGGTGTCGTCTGGTCTTGGAAACCTCGACATATTTCACTACGATGACACCTTTGGGTTGTGATAGACGGCGGTGGAGAGTGCAAAGCGGTTGTGTGGCTTTGGTCAGACATGTAGTACTCTATTCAGCCCAATACCATGGTGGTCTAATTCTAGTAATGTCATATTCTAGATCTGAGTTGTCCAGAAGTTCTCTACGTGGATTTCCTGTGCATGATGGTGGCCGCAGCCTGATGGTTAGGGAAGATCAGAGTGTCCGCAATAACCACATTTTCCCGTCTCGAGGCAGCGAAAACGATGGCCTCGGCAATATCGTCTGGCGTCAATGGCTCACAGCCCCTACAAAGATGTTAGACCAAAACAACAAAAAACAGTGGCATTGGCTCCATGGGAAACATACGCATAAACGGCGTCGGCCTTGGCTTTGTCGCCGCCAAATCTCACGACCGAGAATTCCGTCTCGACTTGGCCTGGGTCTATGCCAATGACACGCACTCTCTTCGAAATCAATTCCTTGCGCAGACTGTCGGTGAACGATCGAACGGCCGCCTTGGTAGCGCAGTAGATGCCGCCGCCGACGTACGGCTCGCGGCCCGCAATCGATCCAATGTTGATGATGTCACCGGAGCCCTCGCCGTTGTTGCGACTCAGCATGCCAGGCAAGATAGCCTGTGTCATGTTGATGAGGCCGGTCACGTTGGTAGCGAACATGACATTGATATCATCCTCATTGATCTCAGGCGCTTTGGCGACGCCCTTGACCAGACCGCTGGAGGCCCGGGTTAATTGGTGAGCATGATTGTTGGGTAGGGGAACGAATCTTACGCATTATTCACCAAGGCGTCAATCTCTTTGAACTCCCCTGGCAGCTTGTCCAAAAACGAGCGCACATCCGCGGCGTCGCTCACGTCGAGGGCCACTGGCAAGACCTTGACACCGTCACCGACTTCGCTGACAATGTCGGCCGCAATTTGCTTGAGGGTGTCAATGCGACGCGCCGTCAGGATGAGCTTGAGATTCTTTGGGCTGGTCCTAGCAAACTCGAAGGCTGTGGAGCGGCCGATGCCGGATGATGCACCAGTGATGAGGACGGTTTTGCCTTCCAGGCGCTTGGACGCTGCTGATGCCATATCGTGAGTCTTAATTCGGAAAGATGAGTGAAGATGCGTCTTGGTTTATGGATGGTCTGTAGCCTGTCATGAAGCTTGTGATAGGCGTACTGGGGGTAGTCTTTGATGAACAAACACCATGATATAAACTGGGAGAGCTATTGATCTCGTTCCCCGCACGCTGACGTTGAGGCAACTGTGGGTTGCACTTGTAACAGTGGTTATGCCCCGCTGCGGCTTTTCCGTTCCTCGCACTCTGTTGGTGTTGATGGTGGGCGATCAGGGCTTATCCGTCGGCAAAGGATCACGACCCGTCGACTACCACACAACTGCATGCCATGGGCTCCATCTTTGGGTATCTGAGCCGTTCGATAGTGGCAATGATTCGACAGGACGACAAGTTAGTATTCAGACCCCGCAAAGTTGTCTCCGAGGCGACAGTCCGCCCGGCGCACAGAAGTGATCTTGTCGGGTGGGACTCTGATCAGCTTTCAGAGGAGCGGAGGGCCAGGGCTAGCACATCAAACTGCTGAGCTGCCGAAAGGGACGTGGGGTAAGCACCACTTACGCGTCAGTCGGACTTTCGCGACTCGACCAAGGCGGATATCCCTCACTCACGGTATAAGGACCTGCAGCTACCTACACTGCACTCCTCGCTCTGTCAACGCGCTTCTTCAAGCAGATACAAGTCGAACGGAACCACTCACGTACCTTCAAATCGAAGACAGCACTCATCATGGCCCCTCAAACTGCCCCACCTAGCGGCGTCTGGGCACCAACCATCACTTTCTTCAACCACGAGGACGACACTCTTGATCTCGATGCTCAGGAAAAGTACTATGCATACTTGTCCAAGTCAGGCCTTCACGGTCTGGTGGTCCTTGGGACCAATTCAGAAACCTTTCTCTTGACCCGCGAGGAGCGCAAGACACTCCTTGAAACCGCGAGGAGCGCGTGCGGGCCAGATTACCCCATCATGGCTGGTGTCAGTGGCCATTCGACCAAGCAGACGCTGGAGTTCATATCGGATGCATACGAAGCGGGTGCCAACTACTGTCTGCTCCTCCCTCCGGCATACTTTGGCAAGCAAACCACGCCAGAGGTTATCAACAACTTCTTTGACCAGGTTGCGAGCAAGAGTCAGCTCCCGATTGTCATTTATAACTTCCCTGCGGTTTGCAACGGCATTGACCTCGATTCCGCAACCATTGCGGCCCTCGCACGGAAGCACTCGAACATTGTCGGCGTCAAACTGACCTGTGGTGCCGTGGCCAAGATTACCCGTCTCAGCGCCGAGCTCCCGGAAGAAAGCTTTGCGACGTACGGTGGCCAGTCGGACTTCCTGATCGGAGGCCTGGCTGCCGGTTCGGCCGGCACCATTGCCGGTTTCGCCAATGTTTTCCCCCGGACCATCGTGCACATCTATAACTTGTACAAGGAGGGCAAGTTCCAGGAAGCCATGACGCTACACAAGAAGGCGGCGCTGGCCGAACAACCTTGCAAGGCAGGCATCGCCGCCGTCAAGTACGCTGCCGCCCTGAACACGGCCAAGGCGGCCGGTATTGAAGGCGCCGTCGAAAAGTTGAGGCCGAGACAACCGTACGTCGAGCCCTCTGCGGCGGCGAAGAAGGCTATTGAAGAGCAAACCGCAGAGCTTGCAAAGGTAGAGGCAACTCTGAGAGGAGAGGCGAAAGCTGAGCTAGCCAATGGTTCTACAAATGGGGCGTGATACTGGTGGCAATTGTGTGTTGCTTAGAACCTGCAAATATATGCCACTGTTGTACGACACCATTCAATCTCAAAGAATTCCAGAAAGGATATTGCCTCTGATCTAGACCCAGAACCAAGCTGTATATCCGACATTAGCTTTACTATAGTCGGAATCGGCTATGCTGTCTTTCTTCCATGATGCAAATTTCGGGTTGCTTGCGAGCGGAACTGATGATCTTTCGGATGACATGCGTATATCATCAAAATCATTTCAGCATCCGGTCGCAGAGTATCACATTCTGCCAGTCTTACGAGGTTGAAAAATCACAACTGCATGGAACGGCGATGATTCGAGTAAAGGGGAACGTATTCTGCCTGCTAATTGAAATGACAAACTGGTAGACGAAGGTCCAAATCACCGAAACCCATATTCTGGTGGACAGTGATAACTGTCGGTACACTCCTCCAACACTTTCCCTACAGAACGTGTTTGAACAAAGGAGATCGATCTCCCATTTCAAACAGCTCCTCCTCAGTGTACTTTTGCTTCGCCTCCTCCGCAATCTTTGCCTTGCGCGCATTGGCATGCTTGTAGCTCAGCTCAAGAAGCACAGCGACGATCATACCGCTCGCGCCAAAGGCCAAACTGAGGCCGAAGCCGGTATAGTACTTAGGCTTCTCGCGTTCGAGGTACATGAAACTGCCGACAATACCACCGACGTTGCCAACACAGTTCATCAGAGCAATGCCGATCGCTCGTCTCGAGGATGGAGCAATGTTGTTGGCGTTCCACGACGCCGCAGCGGCCTGAATGGGGTAGATACCGATGACGGCGAGAACTACAGAGAAGTAGGCAACGGCTCGCTTCTCCTTAAGCTCGCCATTGAGGGAGATGATGATTGAGTACGCCGTCGTGACGATGGCCATGGGGGTGACAACGAAGGGCATGCGCCAGAAGAACCTGTCGGAGATCTTGGCGAAGATAATGGCAGAAGCCGCTGCAGCCACATAAGGGGGGGCAGAGGTCAACTGGGCGTTGGTAGTGCTGAAACCCATAGACTTGGTGATCGTAGGGAGAGTGAACTTGATGCCTTCGATGCGTGTTAGCTTGTAATTTCTGGGCAGATTGGCCGTTGATCAGACTTACCATAAGACAGAGCCGACTGGCAGAGCAGGAAATAGGCCTGCACATAAATCCTCCAGTTGGTCAGAACCATCTTCAGATCCTTCCACTTGACAGTAGATTCCTCGCGGAAGCCACCGCCCTGTTTGATGAACATGGAAAGTTCCAGGTAGCGAATTTCATCAGGCTCGAGCCATCGTGTCGACAAGGCGGGCGTGTCGATGAGCAGGAAGAAGCAGGCGACGCCCAGAACCACGGTAGCGAGGCCCTCAAGAATGAAGATCCAACGCCATCCCTCGTAGCCGCCAACCCCGTCCATCTTGGCGATGCCTGCGGCCAACAGACCAGAGAATGCACCGGAGAGAGCGCTCGCGCAGTAGAAGTATGAAATCCTAGAGCTGAGATCTTTGGGCATGTACCAGTAGCTGCAAAGGTAGATCGCGCCTGGGAAGAAACCAGCCCTAAGAGAAGAGATTAGCTACTTTTAATGCCTGTCAGATTCAACTAAAAACTTACTCAAAAATACCGAGAAGTACACGAGTGGCCATGAGGCCGCCGAAGTTCTTTACCAAGCCAGTGCAGGTCATGACAATTCCCCAGCAAAGAGTCAGAATTCCAAGGTACATGGAAGGGCGCTTGAACTTCTTGAGGATGATGTTACTGGGGACCTCGAGTAGGACGTATGGGACGAAAACTTGCCAAATCTGTTAGCAAATCGGGAGAGTTGTCAACCGAAGCGGTGGAACGAACAGATAGATAGGACAATGTTATACTGAACGCCTGTCATGCCCAGGTCTTCTACCATGCCCTCAATCTTAGCATTACCGATGTTCGCGCGATCAATGTGGCAGATCAAGTAGAGCAAGGCGAGCATCGGCACCAGGCGAAAGTCAACCTTCATCAGAGTTAGCCGCTTCAGATCTGGGTCCGGTGGTGGGATAGGTTGCTGACCTTGCGGAAGACTCTCTTGCGCTTCTCCTCTGGATAAGTTTCAAAGAACTCTGCATCAGCAGGATCCAGGCCGAACACGCGGAAGCCAGCGATATCGATGGCTTGAGACGAGTTCTCGACGTGAGTCTTCTGGTCGACAGACTCGACGTCATGCTTGTCAATCGAGTTCCTGAGAGCCATGTTTGCAGGGGTTGTGGCGGGTGTGGGATTGATGGCGCCAAAGGGTTTGTATCGAGGAACTTGAGATGTCGGAGGGTCTCTCTGACCAGCCTCTCACATATCGAACGGCAACGAGTCGGTATTATACCCAGAGTGTCTGGGAAGACTGACCCGTGTGCTCGACCCCAGACTCATTTACCCCAGATACCCCAGATGCTCCAAGCAAACTGGGCAATGCTTGACTCTGACCTACCCCCAGACAAAGTGCGGGGATTGGCCTCGAGCGGAAAAGCAGTACCTGTCAGTCGCCGTTGATCATCAGCAGAACACCCAATCACAGTACCATCCGCGACAGTATCCGCCATGTGCGTGTGGTAGAAGCTAAGGAGAACTACCGGACACTTGCCTCTTTTTGGCATCGTAGCTGGCGTTGGTGTTGCATCCATGGCGACTCGGTTCTGACGGACTTGGCGGATTTGACGGATTCTTGGCGGATTCTTGGAACGATCACCACCTTCTCGACTGTGGATTCTATCATGATCACTTTGCTCCCCGCGGAAACGCACGTCCTCGGAGACATCATACACTGCATTCTGCCTGGGCAAGTCAGATTCAAATCCGCAAAGAGCGCCACCATCTTCGCGTCGCACATGCACCGAGAGCCACTCCGGCCGGTGCGACAACTTAATCTTGACCACGTTGCATCGGAATATGTCACATAGTTTCATTTTCCGTGTTTGTCGGCTCGGCCGTGAGCCGCGGCACTAGGTGACCCCTCTACGGTGACCATCATAATCCGCCATTTGAAAAGCCCGGTCGGGACTTTCTCGCGGGCTTCCTGCGGTACCTGCCAAAGGACCATTGTCCATTCGAGTCAACAAGATACTATTCTGAACAGCCGCCGGCCCTGTCTCTTATCATCTGCAGCCATGTCCCGACGCGGGGTCATCAAAGACATCATTATCACGCCCGTGGCGTTCCGTGATATGCCCCTGCTCAACAGCGTGGGCGTACACGAACCATTTGCTCTGCGCAGCATCATCGAGGTCATTACAGAAGACACTTACGGCTTGGGGGAGTCCTACGGCGACTCAACGCATCTTGATCGCTTGAAAGCAGCATCTGAGCAGATCAAGGGTCTCTCGGTGTACAACACAAATGGCATCTATCAGAAGTGCACCGCGTCGCTCGAGGGCAACGCTACATCTGGAGGTGATGGCATGGCAGGCATGGTGACGACGGCGTCCGTTGCTGACAAGGTTTTTTCTCCTTTTGAGGTGGCGTGCCTCGATATTCAGGGCAAGTTAGCTGGCGTTCCTGTAAGTGACCTGCTCGGCGGCCGCGTCAGGGATCAAGTCCAGTACTCGGCGTATCTATTCTACAAGTGGGCGGGTCACCCGGGCGAGGCGGACGACGAATATGGAGCTGCCCTCGATGCGCCGGGTCTGGTAAGACAGGCGCAGAAGATCATTGATGAGTACGGCTTCAAGGCAATCAAGCTCAAGGGCGGCGTGTATCCACCTGCTCAGGAGGTCGAGGCCATCAAGGCACTGCATGCGGCTTTCCCCAACGTGCCTCTGAGGCTCGACCCGAACGCCGCTTGGACCGTGGAGACGTCAAAGTGGGTTGCGGCCGAGCTCAAAGGTATTGTCGAATACCTGGAAGACCCGGCACCTGAGATCGAAGGCATGGCTGCCGTGGCCAAGGACGCTTCAATGCCTCTGGCGACCAACATGGCTGTCGTAGCCTTCTCACACCTTCCATCGTCAATTCAGCAAGATGCCGTGCAGGTAATTCTGTCCGATCACCACTTCTGGGGTGGCCTGCGCAAGTCCCAGCAGCTCGCTGCGATATGTGCAACGTGGGGAATGAGACTGTCGATGCACTCCAACAGTCACCTCGGCATCTCCTTGGCCGCCATGACGCAGCTTGCGTCAGCAACAACGAACCTCGACTACGCCTGCGACACTCATTGGCCATGGAAGCGTCGAAATGAAGATGTTGTCGTTGACGGCGCGCTGAAGTGGTCGGAGGGCGGCGTCATCGTACCGAAAACACCAGGGCTAGGCGTTGAGTTAGACCGTGGTAGACTCGCTCGGTTGCATCAACAATATCTCGACTGTGGCCTGCGAAAGAGAGATGACACCACTTACATGAAAAAGTTTCATCCGGACTTCTCGGCACATATCCCAAGATGGTAAAACAGGACATTTGACAATCAATTAGCGGCTGTCTAGCTCCGTCTAAGAAACATGATAAAGACCACCTAGGTATGCACGAGGACTCGCATCCTTTACTAAATCCAACATCAAAACCTGCGAGCATGTAGGTCCGGGCGACGTGATGAACAGAGTGAAGCAGTCTTCCACAGTCATTTGTAAGATAGGAGGGAGGAATACATCTGGTATCTGGCGCACTCTGCAGCCCTTACCTATACAGTCCCGTGATCCCAAGCCCCCAACTAGCCTCTGTGCCCCCCTGACCCTTGTCTCCCCATCTGCTTCTCGATACTGACGGGCATCAAAACACTACGCTTGTTCCTGTAGCAGGCGGTGCTCTGGCTCCACTTTGACTTTCAGGAACGAGTTCCTGCCCTAGCCGCTACCAGAATAAGGGCGTGGTATTCCAGTCCGGGCCAACCCAGATAGCACCATCCAAAGCTGCACCTCCAAGCTTCGGCAGCCGTACACCCATTAAGTAAGATATTGCGAAAATGATCAATCTCTTTACATTAATGGTGTGCATCGTATGCTTCTGGTTTTGAAGCAGAGAAGCTTGATTTCTGTCTTATACGCTATGAGTTCGCTTACTCAAGCCACGATAAACCCCTGGAAAATTAGCGGGCTCGGAACCGCCAGTGCGTAGCGGCCCACTCAGATCCGCGGGTTGTCGTCGGATTCGAATTCGAGTTCGGCTTCAATGGCTCGAAATCGAGATCGTATTCGTCCCCGTGGGGGATAGAGTTTTGGGCAGCTGACTTGGCCGGCAGATCACACGTGTGCAATACATCAAGTTAGAGCACCAGCTCAGGGGACCTGGGATTGCAGTGGCACCAGTGCTGTGTCTTCTTAATTTATAAAGTGTTAAAAGCGTTGCCTTCCCTGGTCGAGACTGAATAATTTTGGCATACTCACGACGCACATCAGCTATTTTCCGTCCTGCGGAAGCTAACTTAATTCTTTCCATATGCAAGAAACAGTTACCTCCATGTCTACCTCCTTCAGTAGCAAGACCGTCATCGTGACCGGCGGCGCAGGGGGGCTTGGTTTCGCCATTGTACAAGCGTTCCTCGCCGCAGGCGCCAACGTCGTGGCAACGGATATTCAAGACACGCTGCTCGATGCGCTTCCTGCCGCTGTTGAAGCCGAGCACAAGGAGCGCCTGCTTCCGTACAAGTGCGACAGTTCCGACGACGCTGGCGTTCAAAAGCTCGTCAGTGACACGGTGGCCAGGTTTGGCAGGCTCGACATCTTGGTCAACAATGCAGGAATCCTGGACAAGTTGCTGCCTCTGGCCGAATGCACGCGCCACGTGTGGGACTCCAACCTCCTGGTCAACTTGACGGGCCCGTTCGTCACGAGCCAAAACGCCGTTCGACAGTACCTTTCACAGGAGCTCGTCAACGGACACCGTGGTACCATCCTAAACGTTATTAGCACAGCTGGAAACCACGGCGGAAGAGCAGGTCAGTCAACAGGAATGCCCATGTTTAGCTTTCAAAGGCTAAGAGGTTAACTTTGAATCCCTCAGGTGTCGCGTACACGGCCTCGAAACATGGTTTGGTTGGGTTAACTAAGAGCACCGCGGCGTTCTACGGTCCCAAAGGCATCCGATCAGTCGGGATCATGCCTGGTGCGATGCCCACCAACATCTCAGGAGGAAGTCATGATTTCTCGCAGCTCCACCCCGAGGGCAAGGCTCTATGTAAGTCTTCTGCTCGCCCACTCTGGAGAAGTCAGCAACAAACAGCTTACGCATTGTTCAGCGGGGGCGACTTGTCAAACGTGGCAAGGTGAGCCTGGTAAAGGTGGCTGGAACCTCGGGATATCCCCTCTGGAACAGGTTGCCAAGACGGTTCTTGTCCTATGTTCAGATGGCATGAACACCATCAACGGAGCTCTAGTACCGACGGACATGGGTTGGGCGGCGGTGTGATTTGCGCATGCAAATAGCGAGGGAGCGATATTGCTTGATTTCACGATTTCTTAGGATAATGAGCCAGTATAAGTACGGTCGAACACATAGCCTCAACAACCATTCAGTTGCCCAGTCAAGATGTTGTTCAAGTGCGGGTTCTCAAGTGACTCCTAAAGTCATTGGACCTGGAAAGGACAAAATTATTGACCTAACACGCCACTGGGCGGAGGTCTCCATACAATTCCACCTGACAGCAGTTCGGCTCACCTCATGATAGTGAATGATGGGTAGATATTCTGGGAGGAAGAGAGGTCAGGTATGCGGGGCATCGGTCCATAACGCCATGCCACGGAGACCAAGCCTGCTGACAGTCAACTCTGACCACGAGACGAGTAATATTGGGATCGTCACAATTTCCAAAATGACCTCGATGCTTGGGCTGACCGCCACCAAGCAAGGAACAAGGCCCTCCACCCCCAATCCCCCGCATATTCTCATCACGGCACAGCAACAAAAGTCGGCCCATTGCCCCATTGGTACTGCGGGGTGTTACATCAGAACCCTGGCGGCAACGCAGCTCCCTCCCCATTTGAGAAGCTTCTTTCCCAATCGCGACACACCCGCCGGGCGAGCGTACCGCCTGCTCTCGTCTACCGTGGTGCAGGATGCAACTACAACACCACCGAGATCATCGTCACATGAAAACCCTCGGCTCAGCAGTCAGTCTGGGTCGAGGATCGAGGCGCTGAGTGTGTTCGAGCATAAAAACAGTGACCCCTTTACGTCCGATCTCTCTCGGATCCGATGCTTCTAGTCTGCCCTGCCTCAGCGCTGTTCGCTGCAGTCTCGTCATCATGTTGTTGCAAAGTGCTTCCCTCCTGATGCTGGCCCTGACGGCCTCCGCCGAGCCATATAACACCTATGACGGCCCTGGCTTCCCCGCCTGCCATGATGTAGCAGCCGTATACAACCCCAAGACCGTTGACGACATCCAAGCGGTCGTCCAGGAGGCCATCGCCGCCGGCCAAAAGGTCCGCGCCTCAGGGCTCGGACACATGTGGTATGATACCATGTGCTCGGACGACCCGAACACGGTCATCATCAAGACGGAGGAGGTACACAACATCTACGATCTCGACCTCGAGGGTGGTTCCGTGTGGTTCGAGGCTGGCGTGACCTTCATCCAGCTCGCCGAGTGGCTGCACGAGCGCGACGCCTCGGTCGGGTACACGCTGGTCAACTGGAACATCACGCTGGCAGGCTCCGTTGCCATGGGCGCCCACCGGTCGTCGATCCGCGAGGATTCGATGGTCGCTGCCGGCGTGTTGGAGATGGACATTGTCGACGGCACAGGCCAGGTTAGACGCATTGTTCGGGACGAGAAGAACGACGACTGGTTGGCTGCTAGCACTTCTCTTGGTCTGCTGGGTGTCATCGTAAGGATGAAGTTCAAGATCTACCCCGACTTCAAGGTCTATGCCGACCAGAAGACGTAAGCTTCTCCCCCGATGCCAACGTTAGACTCCTGGAGGATGGGCGCTGACCTTGTACAGGCTTGATGAAGATAAGGTACTCAACGGCGACATTTATGGCATGATTGCGCCTTACGCGACTGCTAACTTCTGGGTAAGTTTTCTATAGCGCCTCAAGACCTGGCAGTGAGCCAGAACAATGACTGATATGAATGCTGCAGTGGTGGCCGTACAAACGCAAGTTCCATTGGCGCTACTACGATGAAGTTCCCGAAGGCACCAGCGAGCAGCAGGGCTTCCAGAACACGTTCTCGGTAACGGCGCTTGAGGGTAACACGGCGCGCGTGCTTCTCGACAGCGGCAAGTATCTGGCAACGTCAAACATGCTGGCCGAGGAAATCTTCTTCGGGCAGTGGGAGAAGCCCAACTTCCGGGAGAAGACGACGTGGGCGCCCATTGAAAAATGGCCAGTCTACGGCTGGAACTACGACGTGCTCATTGGCGGTCTGTACCCGGATCAGCGGCCGAACTGGGAGTACGGCTTGCGCGCGTACACGCTGGAGCTGGCGTTCCCGATTACGCAGGCCAACACTGTGCTCAAGCGCGTCAGGGCACTATTCGATGAAGAGCTGCGCAAGCTCACAGTCATGACTTCGACGTATCGTAGTGGTATCAACATCAAGTTCGGCAAGCCCTACTTTGACTTCCTGGGCCAGGTGACTTACAACACCTCGGACGGTGCAGACTGGACCAAGGGAGCCATCATGTTTGACTTCCCGAGCTACCGACCGAGCATTGGAGACAATCTTCGCTTCAACGAGCCGTTCTGTAAGCTGGATATCCATGTTCGAGGGGCGTGAGGGATCATGCGAGACTGACATGCAGCAGACCACAAGCTCGCCAAGACACTCGTCGACGAGTTTCCCTGCCGCCCTCACTGGACCAAGAACACGAGGGAGGTCTTCAAGAACTCGGCAAAAAATATTGACCCCGATGTAAGTGGAAGAGTTTAAGCACAAATGCCGTGTGCGGGTAGCATACTGACTGCTGCAGCACCTGCGCCGATTCAAGGTTGTTAGGAAGAAGTTTGATCCCAACGGGGTCTTCAAGAGCGTCGTCGGTGAGACCCTGGGACTCTATTAGTCTTCTTGAACGATTTGCGGCTCCGCTGTGCATAGGTTAAGCTCGGAACACCCAGCTGGTCGGCCGCATTCTCAGTTTACTTTGGCTTTAGAATGTCGATAGCTATTAACTGCCACGTATGCTGATCGGCTGACAATCGGCGCCGGAGCGAAGATAGGCTTCCATGTGAAGGGAGACCAATGTCCGCATCCCATCCGTACATATGGTGACGTCCTGTTGATGCTGGTGCGAATCTGAGGACATCCAACGAAGTCGACATTGCATGTGACCAACCCCTCTCCTCCGTGGATGACATCACATGATTAATTGTACCACCTTTAGTCTCAACCCTTATGTCACCTCACCTACTCACCCCAACTTGCCCTGGCTGATCTTCATCTTGTGTTTACCACCGGCAAAACCACTTCAACTTATCGAAGAACACCTGCTGCGCACAAACAGACCTATCA